CCTGGTGGACGTTTAGTGCATGAAGGCGGAAAACATGGGATAGTGGCGACTTCATCAGGGACCATCCATGAGTCTCTAGTAGGAATTGGGTGTATGACTCCATTATACGCAAGTTTCCACTCCACACTTGTGTAGAATGGAGATATGTAGTCATAACATGATAAGCCTGGCCTATTGCGTATCGCGGCAACTGCGTGAACACAGACAAAGTGATCTAGTTGAAACTCCCCACACGTGCAGTTCCTCTCACGGAAATTGACAACATAAGACCTTCCTTTTTTATCAACAACCAAGTACTCATATGAGCATGACGGCCGAACCTAAACAAAAAACGGTAAGAAAATGATGGTACAGGAATAGAAAAATGATGTGATTAAATGAATATGAATCTGAAAGTGTACCGTCATAACCGCAGATGCCACGTGTAGAGCACGGAGATCAGATTCACATTGTTTGGTCAAAATAGTAGATGTTGATTGAGCAAGTTCCCTACGATCGTGAAACCATTTTTGCATTCGTCCAACAATGAAATCAACAAGCTGAGCGATGGGGTATTCCCGGGGGCTCGCGTTAACACTGTTCATGGACTCCGCATTGTTTGACGTCATTATGGAATAGCGATTCACATTGAAACATGATCTGGCCCACTTCTCCATGCCAATGGAATATAAATATGGTCTAATCCTCGGATCCTCATCGTCTAGTAGGCTCAGGTACCGATCGCAGTAGGACTTTGTGGGTGCGCGTGCAGCAGCAAAAAATTTCCATCTCAGTGCTTTCTCAGAGCCATTGAATTGTGATTTAATATTCCCCAAAATGTGATGAACACAATGACCATGAGGAACACGGGGGAAATGTGCCTTAGCAGCCTTGATGATCCCACCATGACGGTCAGATAAAATGTATTGCACTGGGCGTATATTGAGGGCTTCCTTGAGTTTTAAGAAAAACCAATCTCAATTTGAGTCATTCTCAGCATCGCAAAATCCAAATGCCAAAGGAAATATTTGTTTGTTGCCATCGTGAGCAACAGCAGTTAAGAGAGTGCCCTTATAATATGATTTCAGGAATGTACCATCAATAACCAAAACCGGGAGGCAGTGAGCCCAACCAACCCTCCAAGCCGACAGAGAGAAAAACATATTCTGGAAAACACCTTCAGAAGATCTTGTGATGTCTATCAACGAACCTGGATTTGCCCGATCGAGCATGTAACACATGGCTGGCAGCATGGCGTACGACTCTGCATCACTACCGAATGCAAGCTGCATTGCTCTCTTCTTAGCAGACCATGCTTTCTTGTATGACATGGAAATGTCGTGATCCCTACACATGTCCGTCATAATGGCCTTAGGCGGGTATGGTTTGTTGGTAGCATCACTGTACTTGTATTTGACTAAATCAGCAATGATATCATACGTAGCTTGACGTGGTCTAACCTGGCGTGCATCAATTGGGCATTGATGTTCATGATCATACCTGAGACAGGACAGCATAACGTTAAGTATAACTTGATTTTTTAGGATCATTAATCTAATTGAATCCCATTTTTAAAACACACATGAGAAGAAAGAGATGTGTTTGTTAAACGTTTATTGAGTAGAATTTTCATTAACATATGCAGGAATGTCAATACTGGAGAATTGAAGGACAGTGTGTACTCCATTTTAAAGTATGATATTTATTGACCACATGGAGATTATGGACAGTGTGTGTGATACCTGGTGTGGACAGTGTGCGTGGCACACTGGAATTGAATAATGTTTGGACAGTAACCTAAAGTACACATACATATGGGCATTATAGTGTAATAACAGGTTATACAAACAGATTATATTGTGGACAGAAACTCTGATTAAGCTCAATTTTTTATAGAACATTACAGTATATGGACAGTGTGTCCAAATTCTTTTTTAGACATGTTAATTGTTGAGGCAGTGTGCATATTGGAGTGTTGTGTAATGCACCGTGTATTGCTACATATACTTAATGATATAATTGTTGAGAAAAAACAGTCAACATACGATTTTCTTTGATGCATCTGTAAACGGATAATAAGACGTACCTACGGATTTGGAACATATCCGTGCGTGGTAATCGAACTGCCCTAACAGCCCAAGAACAGCACCTGTTTTCCACACAAACGACGTGGAGAAGCTTCTTAGTCGACCTCTTAGTATGGAACTGGAACAGGTTAGAGATTGCCAACATTTTGAGATGGTATATCAAGTCGCCCTTGTTCTCATAAATCGCATCCAACTCAATTTTAGTTGGGTCAAAACGAGTTACAACTTGGAAATCAAGGTTGGTGCAAATATCATTTGCAGACAATTCAACAGCAGAAATGTCGTCGTTATCCAAATCTGGTCCACGCACTACAATGTCCGTTGTGTAGCCACCGTTGGCCCTTTGTGAACTTGAAGGACAGTTAATCAAAGGTG